TCAAGAAGAGACAAAAAGGTTGCATTAATGTGGGTTCTCCCAAGAGACGAATGAACAGGACATCTATACATATAGGTACATGCACACACGAGGGGATTTGCGGCTCATGCCATCACAGTGCAGACCCCGGGGTGCTCACTGATCGCCTGGCTTGGTCAAGTCTGAAGGCCTCCAGACCAGGGGAGCCAATGGTCCTGGGAACTGGGGAAGGGCTGCTGGTGCCAGGCCTGGAGTCCAAGGACCAGGAAGCCAGGATATCTGAGGTGTGGGGCAAGAGACCTGCATGTCCACCTCACTGGGCAAAGTTCTGATTTGCCTTCTGTTTCTTTCTCCTGGGCCTTGGATGACTGGATAGTGCCCACCTAAACTGAGGGTGGTCTCCCCATGAGTCCACAAAGACTCAGATGCTGACCTCCTCTGCAGCACCCTCACAACACACCCCAAAGCATGTTTTTCCAGGTTTCTGGAGTTTCTAATCCAGTCAAGTCGACACCTGAAATCAGCTCTCACAAATGCACACATAAGGTCAGGATGGAAGGGGACGTTTCTACTTATCCCACGGGTCAAATGCGCTGAGCAAGGGCAGTGTCCGGAGTGCCACACTACTGCCCTTGAACACTCAGATGAAATGACACATCTATAAAAGTACTGACACTAACATGTTAAAAAAAAACCAAAACTGTCCATTAAATATTGTGAAATTGAATCTGTAATTAAAAATGTGCCCATGAAAAACCTCCAGTATCACATGACTTCAGAAGTGACTCAAAAAATAAACAAGTACAATTCCAATCTTTGAGAACTCTTATAGTAAAAGGTAATGGTACATTTTTTAGTTTGTTTTATGATGCTAGCATCATCCGGACAGCAGAACAAAGACACCAAGAAAAAGGAAAGTGAAAGCCAGTTTCATTTGTAATTACAACTGCACAAACTTTCAACAAAATTCTACCAAACAAAATATAGTCATGTATCAGGATACTACATTATAACTGAATTGGGTTTACTCCAGGCGCACAAAGAACACATCTGGGAACTCCTGCAGGGGGCAGTACATGTGGCTTGTGCACACAGGCAGAAGCCCTGTGTGGCTGGAGGCAAACTGACTGAAGCTAAGCAGGTGCCTGGCTGCAAGTCTGATCAGGCAGAGAGAAGACACACTATTGAGACAGACAGGATTTGGGTGAAGTGACTGAGGGCTGCAGTAAAGAAGGGTAAGTAAGCAAGAATGATTCCCAGACATTATCTAACTCATCTAGAATCATGAGCAACTGCTTGGGGGGTAGGAGGAAAGGTGGCAGAGGCAGGAGGGCCTTTCAGGGTGACAAATGTATTCTCTTCACATGGTGATGGTTAACCCTGTGCAGGTTAGGACTTGTCAAACCATACACTTGGAGTTTATGCAGTTTATTGAACACTAGCTGTACTGCAGTAAACCAGCCGGGCAAGGGATCTCTCCTGGGTCTTGGGAGGTAGGATGGCAGCGTGTTAGTGGTACTCACATCCCCTTTCATAGGAGAACTTGAAGAACAAGGATGTGGTGGGCTAAATACACCTGCTTTATTCTGGATCTGTTTGATGCAACATGCAATTGGGAATACTGAGAATGCCGTTAGAAATACATCTGATATTTAGGAAAGAGGTCTTGGGCCACAACACAGAGAAACCCTTCCAACATTCTTCTACCAAGGGTTGCCACAAAGAAACAATCCTACAAAGCTGTGAAAGGGGTGTGGCTGAGGATGGTGCACATTCTTCCAAAGCAATTTCACCAAAGTAACTTCAGTTAGGACTGGATGCCAAAGGCAGAGACCTTAATTTAATCTGGGTTTCCTTGCTTACTCTCATTGGCTCACATAACTGAAAAGTACACAAGACAGGATTGGGATCCACCTGGTTCAGGGCTCCAGTGGTGACAGAACCACATCTGAGCTGTGCGTTCTCTGGTTGCCTTCATTTCCAGGCCACTAATGCCTGTGGTTCCAGAATGACATTCTCATGCTGCAGAGGCTTAAGGAGCAAAGTGAAGAGCTCTCCCGCCCACACACATCTTCCTTTTCCCTCTGTGACTCTTGAGTGTCCTCTGGTGGTAGGTTAGGACATGATAGTGGCAACCACAGTAGGTAATGGGACTACAAGTGGAGAAGGAAAAAGGCTCAGAGGAAACACTCAGCTGCCACTGGCAACAGTTATAAGGAGGAAATGGATGATGGGTGCAGCTCAGGGGTCATTTTTTTTTTTTTTAAGAGAGAGACAGGGGCAGAGAGAGAGGGAGAGAGAATTTTAATATTTATTTTTTAGTTCTCAGCGGACACAACATCTTTGTTTGTACATGGTGCTGAGGATCGAACCCGGGCCGCACACATGCCAGGCGAGCGCGCTACCGCTTGAGCTACATCCCCAGCCCCTCAGGGGTCAGTTTTTTTCTGGACATTGGTACAGCCAAATAAACCATATGGGAGGTTCTTGCAATACTGCCTTTTTTTTCTGGTACTGGGGAATTGAATCCAGGGTGCTAACCCACTGAGCCACATCTTCAGCCGTTTTTGTTTTGAGATAGGGCTTTGCTAAGTTTTGTGTTACCTTGTTAAGCTGCTGAGGTTGGCCCTGAACTTGCAATCCTCCTGCCTCAGGCGTGGGGTTACAGGTGTGGCTACTGTGGCCAGCAACACTATCTTTAAATGAGATGGTACCTGTGTTCTCACTGGAGAGCTGCCTATTCTGTCATGCTGAGCCTCTGCTTTTCCTTCACTCTGCTCTGACAAATCCAGGGTTCAGAATCTGCTTGCCTCTTCATTCCTTGCTATTTCTAATTGCATCAAAGCAGGAATCTTAGCCTGGTGCAGTAGCACATGCCTATAATCCCCACGGCTGCATTATATGTGTTTGAACTTAAATCTCATTTTGTTCTGTGAATTTGAAGCAATTTACAAAAGTATATGCCTATCAGGGTGAATAAATAGCTGAGCAAACTATATTGAAAGGAAAAAACAGAAAAACCAAAGGCAGAGGAAGTAGCAGAATGCATCCAACAAATTCTCTAGTTACAAAAGGTGAATTTAAAATTGGATTTCAAGCTCCTTAGCTGAAGAAGAGAGAAGAGCATAATTAGTTGCAAGATTCCGTTACCCAGAAAATCAGACAGTCCTGTGGTTTGGATAATGTGTTTTCTTCTTAATGAGTGTTAAAAGCAGTGTCTTCAAATTTCTGTCAAGTTACCATTGTGTGTAGTTACTGAAGTTACTTTGGTAAAATTCCTTTGCAAGAATTTGCATTTCTTTCAGCCATACCCCTTTTGCAGGTTTGTAGAATTATTTCTTCATGGCAACCGTTGGTTGCCACATATAATACAAATCAATTTATATGTCCAAGTTTTTTTATTTTTTTAAGAGAGAGAGAATTTTTAATATTTATTTTTTAGTTTTCGGTGGACACAACATCTTTGCTTGTATGTGGTGCTGAGGATTGAAACCAGGCTGCACACATAGCAGGCGAGCGCGCTACTGCTTGAGCCACATCCCCAGCCCGTATGTCCAAGTTTTTATGATTTGCCTGTAACCTTTATTCTCATGCTACTTGAGCCTTAATATGCATATGGAAATAATACTCAGATTTTGCCCAAACTTAAGATTCCTCCTTTTTTTTTTTTTTTTTTTGCAGGGAGGTGGGTAGCACCAGGGATTGAACTCAGGGGCACTTATCACTGAGCCACATCCCCACCCCTATTTGTATTTTATTTAGAGACAGGGTCTCACTAGTTGCTTAGCACCACACTTTTGCTGAGGCTGGCTTTGATCTCTTGATCCTCCTGCGTCAGCTTCCCAGCTGTTGGGATTACAGGCGTGTGCCACTGTACCTGGCTAAGATTCCTGCTTTGATGCAATTAGAAATAGCAAAGAATGAAGAGGCAAGCAGATTCTGAACCCTGGATTTGTCTTTAGAAAATTACTTAACCTCTTTCAACTTCAATTTCTTCATCTGTAAAAGGGCATCTTGCAGAACTACTATAAGAATTAGAGATATTTTATATAAAAGCACACAGCACTACTCAAAAACAGATGTTGATAAAACAATCATCATTTGCCATTCACTGGCTGGTAGATCTTGGAAATAACCTCTGGTTTCTTGCTGTTTTTTTTTTTTTTTTTTAAGTATGAGAAGCTTATCTGTCTAATTGAGGTTTTTCAGGAATTGTATGACTATATGAAAACATATATGGACATACATAAAGCAGCTGACACATAGCTTCCCTTCTTGACTGGTCTTCACCTGAAAAGATCTTTCCTAACCAACTCTGTTAAAATGCAAACCTTTTTCTAAGATATAGTTAAAACAGCATCCTTCCTATTTTTCTAGTGGCAATTAGTCCTGCTTTCTCAAAATTCTCTACTGGACTTTTAAAAACCTCGTTACAACTTATTACTGGTTCTGTCTTTTTTGCCCTTCCAAGTTTCAAGTTTCTGGCCAGTGGATTGTTCTTACTTCTGACTTCCTTGTAACACCCTGGTATGCTCAGAGTAGTCATTGTCTATTGCTTTGAACTAACTTTGCTGAGCCTCTGACATCATGTTAGACTGCTTCTGACTTCCTTTAACAAATGGTTATTCTCTGGTCATTTATCATTTGCTTTTTTTTTTGAGGGGGGGTACTGGGTATTGAACTCAGGGACACTGGACCACTAAGCTACATCCCCAGCCCCATTTTGTATTTTTCAAATTTAAAGACAGGGGCTCACTGAATTGCTTAGCACCTCACTTTTGCAAAGCCTGGCTTTGAACTTGCTATCCTCCTGTCTCAGCCTCCCAAGCCGCTGGATTTCAGGTGTAGGCCACAGCACCCAGCTTATCTTTAACTCTTAACCTGGCCTAATACTTTGTTGCCCTGCAGGCACATCTCTTAATGGAATGACTGGGCCACACCAAAAAATGCAGGATGAACACCCTGAAACTCTGTAAATTTTAACATATTAACATTAAATGTATCAAGGAAACATCACTGACTTCTGGCTATGTCCTCTGAGGTCCAAGGTCCACCATCTGGATGCATTTAAGTTCCAAGGCTTTTGCCCTTGCAAGGATGGTTTGGCAATGACGCTGTCTGAGGCATCCAGAAATGCTGCAGGAAGATGAGGTGCTCAGCAGAGATTTTCCTGGAATCAAACCAATGTATGTAAACCCAAATGAATACAGGATAAAGGCCTGGAACGTAAACCACCCTTGGTTCAACCTGTGGTGACTCCATAGGGCTCCAATACCTTAGGGACAAGCTGCCAAGGGGCTGGGATGATGCCACTGGAGGGCCACACTTCGGAGCCTGATCAGGCCATGGGCCCTGATGCTTGAGAATGGGCTGAGCTGGGGCCCCCAATACCCACCGACAGGATGGTTCACCCCACGGACCCAATGCCAAGGATGGATAGGCCTCCCCACGGTCCCGGTGTTTCCGGAGTCACAGGCCGCGGTGCTCGTCGTGGCCGCTGAGGGTCCGGCTCCAAGGTCCCCCGTGCCCGCAGAGGAGACAGGCCTCGCTGGTTCCCTTGCCCGCGGAGGGACCGGCCTCCCAGGTCTACCTGCCGCTGGGGGGACAGGCCTTCCTGGTCCCCGTGCCCACCGAGA